GTGTTTTAAAAAGTATACATGCCAACATAAAGTGAATAATTTCTGATCTGATAGTGTAAGGAGTGTATTGTCTTGCTAATAGAATTAAAATGTTATGTTATATTAGATGTATGATCATGAAGCACAAGGTAATAGACTGAAGGTAGTAGCATTCACCTGCCTTGGCCAGGCAGGGAGAAGAGCGAAAAACCTCAGGAAATGCCTGTATAAACTTAGGGAATGTCTTCACCATGTTGAAGAATATTCTGATGAATTTTCAATTTATATTTTTTTAACTCATAGAATGAATGTATCGAATTAGTTGAAAAGTTAAGAGCACCCGAGTTCAAGGATGGATTTGAGGAAGGTTCTGTTTTTACAGACCTATGGTTAGATGATATGATAGAAGGTTTTTATTTCTCCAAAGAGGAGAAATTAAATTGAGTAGTTTCGTTACTACTTTGACAAGTTAGAGTATGGCAGATAAATGAAGCTCCAATATATGAGGTTTTACTGGTTTTGAAATTGTTCTCATTTCAAGAAATGGTTGATCGTGTTAAAGCTCTAGAGAGAGCTAAGAATAAAAGGATTGGAAAAAAAAATCTCAGATGATTAAGAGAATTAGTGCTTCATAGAATTTTAGCACCATCAAAGAAAGATAGAGATTCTGGTTCAACTTTAAACCAGACATGAATTAGTTGTATTCTCCGTCAGAGAATCAAATCAGATGAGAGTTCGACAGACTCCAACAATAGGTTTGATCTTGAAAGATTAAACAAAGAGTTAATTGAGGATAAGTCAGGGTTAAAGACAACCCTTGTGAATTGAGTTAAAAGCTCTTTTAGAAGTTATGTAAATCGAAGCAGAAAAAGTGTTTTAAATGGATTAGATGAGTATTGAAATCTGGTGATTTTTTTAAACAAGTGGAGAAAACATAAGTATAAGAATGGTAAAGAATAAGGTTTTGTGCAAGTAAACATGTCAATACATGATTGGAGGGTTTTTTTTTTATAAATTTATTTAATTAAATAATTTTTCTATCCAATCAATAGGTGACAAGTTTCACCACCCGATTGGATAAAGGGGAAGAATTTGTTCTTGGGTGGAATTGAACCAACATCCAAAGGATGGATGAACAACACCCTAGCCGCTGCACAAAACAACCCCAATGGTTTATTACTTACAACTAATTGTATTTATCATTTTAAAACTTGATAATGGTAAAAAAAAGAAGCAAAAATAAATTACAATTAATTGTTTTAATATTTGATTCAAGCAAAAATATTTTAATATTTTTAACTAAATTTATATATTGACAATGTAAAAAATATTTTTAATAAAATATACTATAAACATTGAAAATAAAAATTTAACAGAATTAAATTATGATTTTTTTGTTTAAAATGTTTTTAAAGTTGTTAAATTTATATATTGAGAATGTAAAAAATAATTTTAATAAAATATACTACAATAATTGAAAATAAAATTTTAATAGAATTAAAATTAATATTTTTTAAATAAAAATATTAAATTTTTTTGCTTCAAATATTAAAAAATTTAATTCTAATTTATTTTTGCTTCTATTTTCTTTTACATTATCAAACTTTAAAAAGGATAAATACAATTAGTTGTAAGTAATAAACCATTGGGGATGGTTGGTGCAGAGGTTGGGGTGTTGTTCACCCATCCTTTGGATATTAGTTTGATTCCACCCAAGAGCAAATTCTTCCCTTTTATTTTTATCCAAATGGGTGGTGACATGTGTCATCTCTAAATTGGATAGAAAAATTATTTAATTAAATAAATTTAAATTAATAAAAAATATCCTTCAATCATGTATTCCGTGTCATGTTCCTGTCCTGACACATGTTAGATCCTGATTGTATGGTTAATTTATAAATTTAAATTTAAATTATGACCAAATTGAGAGAATATATAAATATTAAGCACTAAATGTAGAAATATACAATTCTTTTAACTGCCACGTCAGTATTCTCGTCAAATATTAACGGCTAGTGGCTTGATTGAACAAATTAAATAGTTAAATGACGTGATTGACAAAATTGAATGATCGGTGGCAAAAGTGAAAATGCTACATAATTAAGTGGTCGACTTAGTTTACCCTAAGTTTAATGATGAAAATATAAAGTTTTTAAAAAATAAATTATTGATGCTTTTTAGATATGGCTCATATAGGATGATATTGTAAAAGGATTAATTAAATAATTAATTTTATTAAATTGGATCAAACAGAATATTGTCATATACACAGTTAATTATACTAAATATCTTTAAAATATAGCTCAAATTTTAAATTGATATTCAATTAATAGGTATAAAACATAATATAATGTTATTTAAATAATTGAAACAAATATATTGTTTTATAAATTCAAAAACAATAATAAAAAGAATTCAAATCTCAATTTAAAAATTATACAATATTAAGAAAAATGATTATATTGATCTCCTTTATTAATAAAAAATTATTTCATCAATTTGCAGCTTTCATTGTTAATTTTGATAAACATATTATTTTCAAAAAAAATATGCTTGTTTAATTGGTTTTTTTATAAGTTGTTTATAAATATTTAATAATTTTCTTAGTTAAGATTTGGAAATCTTTTATTATTATGTTTGAATTTACATATGCTTTAAATATTAAAATAATATTAATTTACACTACCAATTTTTTATACCCATCGATCGAAAACCAATTTAGAATCTAAATTATATTTTAGACATATATGTTGAAATAAATCATGTTTGTGCATGACATAACCCCTTTATTTAACCTAAATTGAAAAGGTTAACCCCAAATCTGAGCTTTTAGCCGCAAGTATAAATCTTTATTATTCATATAAGAAAGCAAAGCAAACCGCATAATGGTGTGCTGAATCCAAAGGAAACGAAAATTCAAGTCTTTATCAATACGGTACTTGTGCTACAAGCAAGCAACGATCATGTTTGTTGGAACGCATGGCAGGTATTAATCATCAGATCTTACAGGCGAAAGAAAGACCTTCACTTTTCAGGGCATCCAAACTTTGAACTGAAGGCTGAAGCTTAGCAACTTTAGCAATAGCCTGGTTTTCTTCGGCAGTTCCGCCCTCTAAGAATGCTCCAACCACCTTCCCCTCTTTGATCCAGTAAGATCCGAACTTCGCCTTTGGAGATTTCGGGTTGTTGTCTCCAAAAATCACCGTATCCCCGACATTGTCACCGTAGAATTGCCATGACAGATCAAAGGAACGAGAATAGAAGTATGGAAGGTAGTCATATTCATCAACTGATTTCCCCTCCTCACTTGCCTTGATGGCCTGCATAAATTACCGGGAAGTAACATTTAGCCGATAATCGAGTATAAGATCAGGTCATAAGTGTAAAAGTAGAAAAACTAAGAGAGATAACACACCTTTACAGCCTGTTCAGCTGATTTTCGGGCGTGGTCAACATGTTCAACCCTTCTCAACTCATTGTATAACTTCAGAGGAAAAGTGGCTAAATCACCCACAGCATATACATTGGGAACACTTGTTTTGAAAAAAGCATCAGTCTGCAATGAAACAAAATATGTTATCCAATCACATACCATTCTTCAATAGAAATAAATGTTTAACGAATCGAATTGAGATGAATATGACACAAAATTGAAAACCACTTCGGGTGACTGCAGATCTTTATAATAGTGCAATGAGACTGCCATTTATAGATGAATAAGCATTTGTTGTTATGCACTGATGAGACCAACCTTTATTCCACCCTTTTCCTCTTCAACCTGCCCTTTGAATAATGTTGTAAGAGGCCTTCCACCGACGCCCACAATGACAATGTCAGCTTCCAGAACTCTACCATCCTTGAGTTTAACTTCCTTCACCTGAACAGGTGCGCAAAATGTATCAGCATTAAAATGATTACAGAGTTTCATTCCCATTAAATATTGCCGAAAGATAACTTCCTAGTTCTTACCTCTCCATTTGAGTCGACGGTGAATCCAACTGCAACTGTTCCCTTTATGATTTTTATCCCTTTATTAGTATAATAATCTTCATAGAAAGCTGCGATGTCCGAGGTGAAAAGCCGGGGCACTATGAGAAGAATCTTGAAGTTAGAAACCCACTAGAGACCAGATCAGTTCATTCGTAATCAGTCCTGATGCCATATGTTTATTAAATTATACTGGAAGGCCTACAGTTGGAAATTTACTTACTGCACCATGGTTCAGGGAACACCATGCTGACATCAAAATTGTTAATGTTCATTATTGCACCAAGCTCAAGACCAATATAGCCTCCCCCAACGATAACAGCCTTGCCATTCTTCTTTGCTTTGATTGCTTCTACCAACTTATCAGCATCATCAATTTCTCTCAAGTAAAAGATGTTTTTGGCATCGGCTCCTTGCACGCCAAAATCTGTCAACCTTATAACCTAAAAGAAAAGTGTATTAAAATATGCAAGTTTCTATGCCAGAAAAGACAAGGAATACGTGCAGTTAGAAACTTTAACTCACTGTGGAACCAGTTGCAATGATCAAAATTTGATACTTGAATGTTTCTCCAGCCGCACTAACTAGAGTCTTGGCAGGAAGATCTGCTTTCACTATTTCAGTGCTAAGGATCAACTGAATCCCTGCAAACACCAGAACAGGAAAAGTATATCAACAAGGGACATTTCCCAATTTTAGATAAGTTTCCTTTTAGCAAATCCATTATCCATTGTGTGAGCAATTTCCAAATTTCACAATGACAAAATCCAGGTAGACAGATGTTACTAACCTTTTTCCTTGTACCACTCAGGAAGCAATCTCTCTCCACCGCTTCCAACACAGACATGGAAACCAGGAAGTCTTGCAGCTCCTGCAAAGAACAATTCATCACATCGATCCAGGAAAAAAACAAACCAGCAAGCCACCTAATGTGGCAACTAAAAGTATGGTTACATCGCATTTAAAGGTGTTTAGAATTTATTTCAGTTTTGCAAATTGGTATATAAAAAGCATATTAGGCTTACCTTCAGGGAAGAGATACGCTTTACTCAGAGCAGGACGTTCATATGGAGCCACCTACATGCATAGTAAAGCAAAAGAAAAAAAGGGTAATATACAATATAAATTTTATCCCTTGGAAGGAACAATAAATAACAAATGTAGCAGTTAAAAGTTAAAATGAGTGCTCTAATGTAAATGGCACTGTTGCTGGCTCTAATACATTAGAACTCAGAAATCCCCACAAAGAGAGCAGAATAAGATATTTTCAAAAGCTAAACAGTGTTCTCAGAAGTCAATTAAGTGATGCAATCTTTTGCTTTTCTAAGCTCAAATAATAATTAAAACAAAACAATTGTTCATGATGATAAAGAGTATAGTCATCCAAAATGTAAAATATAAACGAAATGGATACAATTCTAGTTAATAGATTGAGCAATCATTTGGTAAAGCAACGATCACAAACAATTGCTCTCAGGTATGGTCAAGAGCATACCTCTTCCTTGGAAATAATTGCTAGCTCACCAGGCTGAACACCCTGCTTGGCAAACTCCCTTGCTGCATATCCCTATAAAGTCCAAAGGGGAAACTTTCAGCGAAAGGAAGCAAAGTTTTAAACAAATCAAAACAAAATTTCAAACTTACACAACAGTCAACACTCTACATAATTATAACAGCAAAAGAAGCATTAGATTGTGAAACAAATTGGAAAAAATGCTTGATTGTTTGCCTAAACAAGGATTTTCAGGAAACCCAATTCAAAAACACCATAAAGCTAATCAGTTAATCTTTTATCTTCATCCAGTGACTGCAGGAATAAAAACTAACCTAAACCTTCAATTTCGCATTCAATTATTTTTCTTATTGTTCAGTTAATATTCGTACTCCGTTTTCATTTTCCCCGAAACGCTAGATCCGAAAGCCTTTAATACATTAACCGATAAATTATAACATATCGAAGACAATATTTTCAAAATTTAAAAAAGCGAAGGAATGGATAAACATAATAAATTCGAACGAAATTCAAGAAAATGGTAAAAGAATTAGAATCGATGAGCGAGGAGTGAAGAATGGAACTTACAGCAGCCACACCACCGCCGAGGATGACATACTTGAAACTCTTCTCCGCCATCGGTAAATGAAAGCGTACCTTGGCTTTGGCTATGCTGTCTCGTTTTTCCTTTTATCTTTATTTATTTATTAGGGTAATTAACCGGGGTTTTTTTAAGTACGCCATTGAGAATGTGGAATTAGTAGGCTCCTCATTGGCTGAGTCATAAAAGTAAACATGATTTTGCCGCGTGGCATAAACAGTGCTGTATGTTTAGTTTCTGTTCTGGTACCTTCTTGGATTTCAATTTTTCAGGGCTAATTACATAAAAAATCCGCCAAGCTAACTAAATTTTAAACTGATCCCTACTTTCGAAGAGTTTTACCTGAAACTTATCGTTGAAATCAGGCTTTTCCTCGGTTGTGCCATTAAATTTTTTGTTTGATAAAACTTATTAAAAGAAAGAAGAAAAAGGAAAAGAGAACAATTGAATCCTATTAATTTTCTCACATGTCGTTGTATTAACCCTGGCTTTCATTTTGCCTAACCAACGAGTTAACATCCTCCAAACCTACCTATGGACATCAAACTCGAATTCGATTAGTTCCTATCCGATTTGATTTGATCGGGTTGAATCTTTTAAAAAATGAATTTGAGTCGAGTCGAGTCGAATCGAATCGAATTGAGTTTTTAGAAAATATGTTTAGGTCGGATTCGGGTTCAAATTTAGAATAAAAAATATCTTATCCGATTCGAAAAATAATATAAATTTATCGTATATATTTAGGGATAATTATAATAATAACCCTCTATATTTTATTTTTTTCAATTAGATCTCTATTTTTATTGAATAAAAATAATATCTTTTACAAGTATATTTATTTTGTGTCGGGTCGAGTTGGATTTAAGTTTTATCTCAAAAGTTAGGTCGGGGTCAGATAGAATGAAGTCACTCCTAAACTCGAGTTAGATCAAATTTCGGTTGAAAGATATATATCTTTAAATCAAATCAGGTTAATCGAAAAGCCGACCCGACCCGACCCATGTCATCCTTCTCTAAACCCATACCCATAATTTTTGAAACTGTTTCTGCTGGTGTATAATAGCCCTTGGAAAACTACGATTTGTAATTTCTTAGGAACCATCAGAAGAACTAGAGGTCGAGTAACGTGACCTAAATCGAGAAAAGATTAACTCCCTCCATCACGCCAACTAAGTACAAGTAAGAAACTTAATAAAGTAGTATGTTGCTATACAGTTCCATCTTTTAACTATCAAATATTAATTTACGTTGCTTGTGTTAAATAAAATCTTTTAGAGAAAATGAAAATTCAAATAATGAGCAATCGGACAAATCCCAATGGAATGAGCCCAGCCCGACTGATTCTTCAAATGATGCGGGCATTGGTGTTGCATAACTCAGATAGGTAAATTGAGATTTTAAGAATTAGGATCTTTAAAGAGGGGAGAGAAAACAATCACCGTAGAGATTATCTCGTGACAAAAATAATGTCAAGTTAATTGGTCAAGACATAGCATCAGTACTATGTTATCCTCGGTAACAGTTGTGTGTCGTCAAGTAATTACTTTATTATAAATCAATAATATTAATAATTAAATTATTAGGTTTTAAACATCAGTTGTTAAGAAAAACTTACTAAAACATAATTTCTCAAAATTTATTTTTTAAAATCAAACTTAATGTTTAGTTTAGATTTCAATTTTGTATCTTATCGTTGAAAAAAATTAACATAATTGTTGATTGACATTTTTTTATCTTTTCAATGATGTGGCATTACCTTGTGGTGACAAGTCAACATCACTGTTAAACTTTTAACAACATAATACCAAAATAAAACCTAAATTAAATGTTAGGTATGATTTTGAAATAAAAATAAAATTTAGATACCAAAATGGAACAAAAGTAATAGTTTAGGTACTACACTTAGTGTAAAACCCTAATTCAATTCGACCCAAAATCCAGAGGATTAGAATTTCACATGGAACCAACTACGTGACTAACTACTTTTTTTTTTTAAATATAACCAAAATAACATCCGATCATAATAAAATATCATAATATAATACAGTTACAAAATATATGTATTTAAATATAGGGGAGCTTACAACAACAGTCTCCAGAAATACATAAGTATAAAATAGAGTTTACGGCTCAAATAAATAAACAACTAAGGTCTATGACATTACATGCCCTCTATAATACTCGAGACGTACTATGATTGGTGATCAAGCTCCTCAAATCTAACTACAAGCTCCTCAACTGGAACCTGCATATGGAAACACATTCCATACACTGAGCTCACAAGCTCAGTGTCACACAAATAACCATACTTTACTACATACATCTAACATATAAGCATGCTACAAGTATGATTATGAACAGTTGCATATACTACCGCAACAACAAAAGCAAGCATCATGGTGTGGCTCAGGGTCACTTAGCATCACGGAACTCACACCCCTATTTTCTTATTAATGAACCTTAGGCGAGACCCGGGTCATATAGCATAATCATCTCCCTATACTTCAAGCTAGGTCTGGGTCGCATAACATCGATACCTTGCTCGCCTAGTCTACTCTTTTAGAGTACTCAGGATATGCCCGGGTCACTTAGCATCCGTACAACCATACCAACGTCGCATACAAGTAACTCGGGTGTCCTTAAAATGTTTTTTCGAGCATTAAACAAGGCATAAGTCTTATGGAATCTTACCTCATAAGGTTCTTATATTATCACACAATTATCAATGTTTTCACTTGTAAGTTTATTGTAAGGTTTTCCTCAACGTAAGACTCTCTTGTTTATCATTTCAATTCAAGCTATCCTTATAACCCAAAAGTTCATAAGGGTATCGATACTCCTATTGGGGTATTAGTACATCATCCCCTAGGGTATCGACACTTCCTCGAGTGTCGATACCAATTTTACCTTCGATGTTTTAAAAAATACCTTGGTATCGATACCCCCATATGTGAGTATCAATACTTTACCCTAAGTATTGATACTCCCATGAGTACGGATACCAAAATAGCTTATTAGAATCTGATAAAGTCCTCGAGTATCGATACCAAACCCCGAGTATTGATACCACCTGAGAAGTATCGATACTCCTTGATGGGACATCGATACTCTCCTCACAAACCCTTTGATTTTTTTCCTTACATGATAACCAGTATCAGATTGTAATTGATACCCTATGCCCAGAAAACTTTGTTTCACTCGTCTAAAACTTTCTAAAACACTCCTAAAGTGTTCCCAAGGCCCTTAAATGGTGTTTAAAGCTTATTTAGTACTTAAAGGTCATAAAAGGTCATCGCTTTATGCATGAACAACAACAAATTCCTGTTTTCATGCTTTTAACCCCCAAATGCACCCAAATGCTTCATAGAATCATATAAGCACCAAAAATACTAATGTTGATCTACAAGTATTAAGGAAAGGTTAAAAGTGTATTACCTTTCATCCAAGCTGCAAGAGAACTCTCCAAGATTACTCAAGGACAAGTTTCCCCTTATACTTTCCTTTGGAGCTCTCTTCAACCTCCTTTACTAATCATAAACAAAAGATTGAGTTACTAAATCACATAGGGGCTTAAGGATATTGGAAACATGATTTCAATTCTCTAAAAATAAATTGGGAGCACTAAGGGACTCAAAAATCCAAAACCCATCTTAAACCCCCATATGGTTTTCCATGGTTAAAACTTATAAAAATGGGTTTGGGATGAAGTTAGAGGATGGTGGATTTTATTTCTTACCTTAGCTTCACAAGTTATCACATTTGTATAGCTTCAAGAAATGAGATGGAGAATGGAGCTTGAATGGGAAGAGGAAGAAGACAAGGGATAAAGGAAAATATGTAAGTTATTTTTTCCTGTTTGACCTCATTGTAATAAAAGGATTTTAGCCTTTGAATAAGTTAATTACTCTCCTAGTCTTATCTTTTTCATGCCCAACACAAAACACCATCAAGCCAAAACTAAAAAAAGTTAAGTCTTAACCCAACACTTACAAATGGTCTCTCGACCTATTAAACTTCTGCTCGGGTTTACCCAAATCTACTAACCCAAAAATCAGGGTGTTATAACTATCCCCCTCTAAAAAGAAATTTCATCCTCAAAATTTACCTGAGTAAAATAGATGCGGATACCGAAGTCGAATATCTTCCTCGGTCTCCCAAGTTGCCTCTTCGGTCCCATAGCTCCTCCACAATACCTTTACTAATGGATTTTGCTTGTTTCTCAATTTATTGACCTCTTGATCTAGGATCTTTCTTGGTTCATCCTCATAGGTCGTATCTTGGTTGACTTCGATTTGCTCTAAAGGAAGAATATATAGGAAGGGTCAGAGAGATACCTCTTAAGCATCGACACATGGAATACATTGT